GATGATGCATGTAATATCTCCTGAAACAAGTGCTTCTGCAGCACAATCATTAATTGCTTTAGTGACATTTATTCAAAGAGAGCATGTAACAGCTTCAGACATTAAAGTGTGCCGAATGAACATTTTCACGTATTCAGCATAAATGTTTCTTTAGACTGCACCTATTATTTCAGTTCTCCTAGTTCCTCTTGGTACTCTAAGCTCCTTGCACTGTAAACTCCCAATGTGAATGTTTTTCACATCTTCTGTCAACTTATAAATATAGAAAACTGCCAGCGGGATTAACCTCTTCTTATTTGTTCATTTATACCTCCACATTGCTCTTTTACATTAATTAGCTTGTGGTTTTTATCTACTGGTCCCTTTTTGAGGGTGTCCTTTAATAAAGGTAATAGTATTTAAGAGTGGTACTTGAAGAGTTATAAGAAAAAACTGCTTCCTATGGGTAAAGTTAAAGTGACACTAAATTCAGGAGGTAAATCTTAAAAATACATTCAAGTAACCTAACTATTAACAAAAATGTATCTTATTTGAGTATCACTCGGCTGTAGAATCTCAAATCATCTCTGAATTGGTGCTGACACTGTCCTTCCTTCTGGAGGGTGGATACTTGTGTTTCCCATGGTTCCTGTGTGTGTTGTAAAGTAGTCACTGCTCCAAGTTTACTCCCATGATGGACTACAATCTCTATACAAAGTAGTAAACTAAACATGAGATTGTAAACCATCACAGGAGTGAGTTTGGAGCATGTGTGAATGTTTGATTTGGGATTCCTGCAGCAAGAACCTACGGAACCAGGGATAATAGCACTAATCTGTGAATGTCCAACTTTCAATTTATCTATGAGGATAGGGAGATGTGCTGAATTTGAGCGAAATAACGTGAGGTGGTTTAGGTGCACACTTTTCCCTTTCAAATGATGCAGTGGCGTGCTGCTAACAAAAGGCAGCGTAAAGACTAGATTTCAGCAACAATCATTTGCTCTGCTTTATGCTCTCCAGGTTATATATATATTTTTCAAAGCCCTATCAAAATAAAATTAAAAAACCACATAAAAGAAATGAAAATTCCAAAATACCAACCCTGAAACAAATACCAACGTTTTTTTAAAGGGTAGACAAAACAAATGTTTGCTATTGATGGAACAGCAGCTAAAAGTGTTCACTGACCTCAAATCAACTGCGAGTGAAAATATATAGTGAGGGGGCTGGCATATCCAAAAGCTCAATTTGTGGCCCTTGAAAGCCTGGTGGCCATAGTTAAATGACCATGCAGTGATTTATGTTTTATAAAATTATCTCTGGACCACAAATCTTGAACCTGTAGGATTTGCCCATGTTAGCGACAAACCTGAACCTTATTCACCAACCTTATTCAGCATCCCAGATTAACACCATATATGTCACCTATAATTTTCACAAATTACCAGTATATAGAGAACTTTAGAGAGCTGGAACGTAAGATCTACAGGGGGTGACATTGTTATTGGCAATTATATATCCTGATTTATATAAAATACAGAATGATAAAGTTGGAGTTATGCTTATGATGTTTAAAAAATAGAGTTATGAAGTTCATCATGATAGTATATAGATCACTCTAAACAAATTAACTATGGTGGTAGCGAGATTATATTGAGGAAAAAACTCACATTTCAAGAAAAGAATACAAAGCCCAAAATATAAAATAGTTGTAATTTATTGTCACATTTTTCTTCAGTACAATTCATTTTTACCCTGCAGCACCACGGTCTTCTCAATGGTAGAGCAAGTCCATTTGTCTTTTTTGCATTCATAAAGAATAATTTAATTATCCCGAACATTCAGCTTTATGGCCCTTACTAGATCCAAAGTCCTTATTTTCAATTTAAGATGTGCACCTGACATCATTTTCATATGATACAAGCAAATATTCCTTGCAGTTGGCCCCTACGTCAATGCAGATTCTCTATCTTTCATACCAGCATGTTTTTCCTTATTTGTTTAAGCTCTACTTGTGATTTATCATGTGCCATAGATGATCTCACATAGAAATTCTTTGGAAGTGGAATTGTACTGAAACAGTATAATTGCTAGGCAGTCAGACCTTAATGTTACTTGTTGTCCATATAAGGACATAAATATACATTATGGCAGTAAAATAAGGGCATCTCACCCCTGAGTAGAGCTTAATAAATACTAAGACTTCAAATAATTAGCACCCCATTTACAGACTTCAGCCTGTCTTCTACTTGTACTTGAATTTTAATTTTGAAGCTAAATTTTCACTTATCTTATATCTTATAAATATTGTGACACAAAGTGAAAATTCAGTTTACAAAGAATATCCAAAGATGTGCTAGGAATAGAAAAAACAGGATGTTTGCTGACATATTATTAAATTATTGAAGTCAATCCAAAAACTTTACTCACTTTACAAAGACAAAATTCCCTTAACTTAGTGAATGACCTGAAGCTGTGGCTAGCCATGTCCATTTTTAATTTTCTTATCCTAATTGAGTCTTTGAACACAACACAGCTTCTCTGAGATGAAGAACAACATTAAAGAAGAACTCAAGAAATATTTTCTTGACACTTGCAGTGGGGTGGCCCCATGCACTGCAAGGGTTAAGTGCTAGTTTGCATCAAGGTGTGATACTTACCTGAAACTCGCAGCTGGCTGGCTGTTAGACCGGTGCCTTCTGCCTCGCTTCCCCTCCGTTGCAGCCATCTAAGGTCCCATGAGTCATCACGTTCAATATGATGTGTATTGGATGTGGGAGGGACATTGCATCACTGAAGCGGAGATGGAGAACAGCTGGAGGGAGCGAACTAACAGCCAGTCGGCTGTGAGGTTCATGTGAGTATATCTTTGTTACTTTCACACCTAGAAGAAAACGACCACTTAACCCTTGTAGTGCTGGGGTAGCCCAACTGCAAGTGTTACGGCATTTTTTTTTGCAGACTTCTTTAAAGTAAGCCAGTATTGTTGATAAAGTTGCCAATCCAACAAAACAAAAGGCTGCAAATACACTTTTATTGTCTAAGTGTCAACCTGACCAACTTGAGAGCCTCAATTTTGTGGTGCTCAGCATGGAAACTGCAACTAGAGTCACAGGTGAGGCACTGCCATGTAAGCACCTCTTTATAGATTAATAAGGCAAACACTGAGGGATGCTTGAGGGATTTCAGAGCTCTGACTTTGGAGATGAAAGTCCCAATTTTCATATTAAAACAGGAATTCCTGGGAAATTTAAAGGGACATTTAGATGAGACATGTAGGATGGCTCTATTGGCTTTGCTGCTTTTTTTTTTTTTTTTTCACCGATGACAACATTTGCTTTAAGCACATCTTCTCTTAAAGCTATACTGAAAAATGTGGAACACCAGCACTTAGAAACCTGCTGCTGCTAAAATAATTTAATTTGCCTTGTAAATGGATGTAAACAAAATAGTAGTGTGACTGAATCTGTCATAACAGCATTACAACTCATGTTGTTTTTTTCCTACCTTTTTAATGATTAAATATTAATTGTGCTTTACATAGCTGCAGGAAAAATATTCTCTGTTTAAATCTTCAGTTCCATATTTTACCAATTGTTTAAACATTATCCAACATCATAAATCCTTATTATATACCTTGGGATATGTTTACATTTTTTATCCTCCAGCAAAACTGGTTTCTTTAAACATGGACCTACAATGTATGTTTTTTTTAAAGATATCAAGCTTATATTCTGCATGCTTACAGTATGTTGGATATTTGTTATTTTCATTATACGCACATTCAGTAAACTTGAAGTTTCCATCAGATGCTTTTAAAATGACTCACAAAAAATACAAGCTGCAAGTCGAGGGCAATATTATACAACTGAGCGTATTTTTACAATAATTTCAAAAGCTGGAAGAAAGCAGAGCAGTTATATATTCTTACTGAAATACTGACATTTTAGGGATACATTTATAAATAAAATGAAATCAGAATGCAAAGTGTGCTTCTAGCAAGAAATTTCTACGACAAAACTACTGTAAAATACATTGTGTACTCTCCTCTGCATTACGTGCTTAACAAAAACATAAAATGACAATTTTCTAAAACACTACGGGGAGGATAAAGTGATGACTGTAATTGTACCTTGCATACATTTTCCATTCTATTTTGGTAGTTTTTTTTTAATTTACATGTACAGTATATATTTGTGATATATACAAATAATTTATGTTTATTGTTGATCTACTGTATAGTTAGAACTGTGCCGTTTAGGAAAACACATTTTTGTATAATTGGGATTAACTGTAAGCTGTGCTTTTTTTTAATAATTTCTCATGAATTCTAAATATGAAAATATTAAATATATATTAATAAAGACAATAATAATTAAAGACTAACATATAATAAACTTTGCTATATCATTTTGAGTATGTGTTTGTTCTGTCCAGCAGTTCACATGGAATAACTGCCCTGAGTAAATGCTATATATCTCTTACTAAACAGCCACTGCTGTTTAACTAACCCATGAAAGTTTGCCAACTGTACCTGTAACTCAACACTTTTTAGACGTCATTGAACTGAATTTAAAAACAAAATAGGGTTCATTCATTAATTATGCAAACATTCATCAATGTTTCATACACAATAAAAAATACAGTTTAACTACTTAGATTTTTGCTGTGCTTCTAATGACATCACTGTTTTTCCTTTTTTTGTTTTGCTTTATAATAATAAAACAAACCATGTTGAAAGCTAATGCAGTATATATACTACTATTTCATATAAGCTGTCCTATTATGCATGAGCAGACACTGGAAGCACCTAAATTGAACCTGATAATCTACTTTCTGTAGTGCACTTTAAAATATTGTTATATAAACTATTTTTAAAATGTTTTTCTATTTGGAGTTATCTTACATTCCTCAGTAAAGATGAAGCATCTGACTACTAGGTATGGTTTGGTGTGACTGAATAATCATTATGCATTAAGTTCAAATGAAAACTTAAAAAAAAATGATGTATACAAGAGTTATCAAAAAGAAAAGAAAATAAAGGCAATGACATGAATGTTTGCCAATGTTTTTACAGTAAGTAAAACGTTTTATCACAGTTTTTATAGCTTGCATGAGTTCACTTTCAAATAAAATGTTTCACATGTTTGTTCTCAATGACTTTGTTAATACTGGTGTGTGTTCTTAGGTCGCTATAGTTCTATGGTTTATAACAATAAACACCGTATAGCTTGTGCTTTTTATCTGGGAAACCAACAAAGCGCACGGCTGCTTCATTGGAACTGCAGCGTCTTCTTGGTTTTGAGATTGGGTAACGAACACTGCCATCAGCCAGCCATCCTCCATCGCAACGATCGTAACCAAGTAGCTTCCATGCGGCATACATCTGGCCTACTTTAGCAATCTGAGCTCCATCGTTGATACAGGCTTGTACGGCTTCATCATAAGTCAGCTTCACTGGATGTATTAGGTAATAGAAACGACCTAGGAATAAGAACAAAGTCGTATAGTTGTTTCATAAACAACCCCTACATTTCAGCAAAATGTTCATTACTGACTACAATTCGTTTCAAAATGTTTAAAGGACTGTGTTTGAAAAGCAGGATTGACTCCATGAGCAGTTGCTCTTACAATGGGAGCAGCTACTATGCATATGGGGAAGCAACCTAAACACACATCTAAACAGATAAAGGTGTTGAGCTGATATTCACCTGCTCGTAATGCTGCAGGTAAAATGTAATTTTTTTTACTGGGAGGCATGCTCTATGTGTTACTAGAGTATAGGCTCAATTCACAAAGCTTTAACACAAGGATACATATCTTCATTTTAGTCATGTGACTATAATTTTCAAATCTGTTTGGTCTCAATAAGATAACTGTCAATATTTGTGAAAAAAGTATCCTTATCCTGGGATGCTAACTTTGTGAATTGACACTATGAAATCAAGACCACAGTTCAGGGCACACAAATATAGCTCTTCTGTCTGTCCTGGCTCAGAAAGTTGGTGGCTACCTATTATAGATGACATCCACAACCTAGCTAGCTGCTCATTGCAGGCAGGCCTGTTAAATCTCAGCAGTTTCCAACATAGATACATACATTACTCAGGGCTAGGGTTCCCTGGTCAGCTTTGTCACAAGAGCCAATAATCTAAAGAAATGGATAATCCAGTCCCCTTTCTATAAATGTATGGGCTCACAGGAACTGTTAGGGAGAGCTGACAATTCTGAAGAAAGAGAGAGGGATAAGTAAGGGATATGACTAGGGTCACATGGCATTGATCAGGGCTCCACAAGAGACAAGCAGAGAAATGGATCAGCAGAGATTAGGTTTTGAGTAAAAAAGCAGCAATCTGGGTATGGCAAGGGACACCACAAGAGACAGGCAGCAACAAGGACATCAAGGATTGAGCCCAGGGCCACAGGACAATAACTGGATGCAGCAAGGCCAGGCAACAATATTGTACAACAACAATTAAATCTAGGGTTACAGGGCAACAATCTCAGCAGAACAAAGGACAGGCAGCAATTTGGTATAGCAACCTTTAGGTCCAGGGTCAAAGGGCAACAATCCAAGCACAGAAATGACCAAGCAGCAATATGGTACAACAGAGGTTGTATGGTACAACTCCAGGCTCACATGGCAACAATCTGGACAAAGCAAGGACAGCCAGCAATAGGGTACATCAAGTATTGAGCACAGGCCACAGGACATGACCTGGGGGCAGCAAGGATAGGTAGCGAATGGGTAAAGCAGATATTACGTTTAGGGCCACAGGGGAGCAATGCAGGCATTGCAAGGTATAGGCAAAAATATGGCAAAGCAATGATTGATCCCAGGGTCACAGGGCAACAATCCAGGTATGGAAAGGACCCGGTAGCAATATGGTACAACAGAGATCACAACCAGAGGGTAACAATTTGGGCACAGGCAGCAATCTGGTGCAGCAAATATTAAGTACAGCAACAATTTGCAACAATTTGTACAGCAGCAACTGAGGCTAGGGTTAGAGGGCAACAATTCAGGGCACAGCAAGGGACGGGTAGCAAGATCACAGAACAGCATATACAGGGCAGCAATCCAGGATACAGCAAGGGAAAATGTGAAGAAACACAGGGCAACAATGTAAAGCATCAAAGAAGTAAGTCTTGGGCTGTTGGCCAGCAATTACAGGGCAGCATTCCAGGCACAGTATGGGACAAATAGCAGGGCATCAACCACAGGTCATGGCAGGGAATACAAGGGGGTAATTCCCACATGAGGCAGATTCACACAGAATGATAGGCAGAGGAGAGGGTCAGCATAGGGAGATCTGGTAGAGCACTTTCATTGGGAGATTGCAGGGTTCTGGGGGAGGTGGAGGTCCTCTGTGGGATGGTTGCAGCTCAAGTCCACAGAGGCAACAATATAGCAAGAGTAAAAGAAGATTTTGTGCTCTGTTCCCTAGTCAGGTATTTAAAACTGAGCTAGGGGCTATCTCATGACCAAGCAACATGATGGCTGGTGTTGGGTTACCCTGTTGACTAGCCCCACCTTCCATATCTGCCACAGCTTTTGTCTAGGACGGGCACTGTAGGGTGTGGGAACTTAGGCTACCCCATGGGGTTGATTTACTAACCTTATAAACACGCCACGAACAAGTATACACCTCTGTAGTGTGTTCCCTCCCAGCATGATCTATTGGTGGAATCTAGACACCTTTGTAGTGTGTACACACCCAGCAGGTGTGTTGTGTGAAGTCCTGCATGAATTGCAAGGTGATGTTGTGTAAATTAGCTCTACATTGTGTTGCTTGCGTTGATGAATGCAGAAATGTAAATGCATGAGCATTATATATGCATCATGTGCATGATTTTTCCATATATGGCATTAGTGGAAATATGCTTTTAGACTTTTTGATTGATAAATACGTTTTGCTGTGTAAAAATCACAGACACCTAGTGCGTGCGTGTGTTTAGGTTAGTACATCACCCCCCATGTCTGCCAAAATAGTGCAACACCTGCAGAGGGGAAGTCTGTAGCCTGCAAACTGTAAATTCACATGCAGGCACAGGTGGGGATTCGACTACCTGGGGTCCTCCGTGTAGGCGGTGGGGAAGGGTGAGTTCTATGCGCAATGTAACAGTGTATAAAACTAATATCTGTGAAGGACATTTAGTCTGTTTTGCATTTAGTACAGTGATGTTATTCCAATACTGATTACCTTATGGGATACGTTATTCCAATGCTGAACAGCTAGTGGCAATCCAACATTTTGACCTCAGAAAAGTTGCTCTACTGCCTTGGCACTGACATGATAACACACTTTATTGTGTGCAGTTCCACTGTGTCTGTAAGCTCTGCTTGTAATTCATTGTACTTTCTGCAAGAGCCAGTCCAAAAATACAGATCTATTATCTTCTATAGTTGTTTTCAACTCTTTTGCTAATCTCCGTGAACATAAGCCCTTGAATGAAAGTCTGACGAGAATTGAAAAGAAAAGGGCCGCCATGGAAACCAACATTTAAATTCCCATTAGCATCTTCTGGTGCCAGAAATCTGTGTTCTGTCAAATGCTCCCAGAAATAACATTGTCTTATCAATTAATTACAGTATCACATATTTTGTGATAAGCTATCAGCTATTAAATGAAATACATTGTAATAAATAATTTTATGTTAGAAATACAGACTTAATGAAAGAATTAAGCTCTAGGTATTTATGATGTTTAAATGTTAGGAATATGTCAGTCTTTGGTGTACTATAGACACATTACTCTAACCTGAAAGGTATAATATTATTACTATTTAAAATGTGTTAAGTTGTAAAGTTAAAATGAACAGCAAATTTACGTTTTTGCCAAAAAACGGCCATGTTTCAGCTTTCATTAAAAGAAACAATGCTATAATTCTGATTGGTCATCATGAGCAACACATTTTGTGCTCTTTTGCTTTTCCCCTATAGAAGTATATGAAGACGTATGCTTAACAACTAACTTGTGCATTTTTCAGTAGTCTTCCTTTTTTCCTTGCTTTTTTCTGATGTACTAGCTAATGGGTTAACTGACAAATAGCCAAGTCAACACATCACCAGATGGTTAACTTGGGTTCTAACAAAAACACTATAGACCTGGCTGATGATAATTGGCTGGAGTTTTCTTACTGGTGTATTGCTAAACTGTTTCTACTAACTCACTGGATTGACTGGGGTGACTCTTCTATTGCCATATCCATATTCTAATGCTAAGGCCCCAGCTTCTTAGATGAGAGCTATTTCAGTTATTAGCATGTGAATGTAGCAGAAGAGAAAATATTCTGTTTTTCATCATTTCCAATGCTGTTCTGAAGAAAGTAGGTTTTGTAAATCAGAAGGTGAGATTAAAATCCTACCTTTAAAAATGTAATAGAAAATAAGCTGTTGGTTCACTAAATTACTAAGCTATAAAGTCAGAATTAGCTTGGCATCAAATGCCTTGTTGGCTGCAAGCAGCCTCTCGTATAGCTACCTAAGAAATCAACAGCCATACATATGATGATGAAAACTATTAAGATCACAAGTAAGCTTAAACAAATGTTACCTTTAAAATTTGATGTGAAGCAGAAGACATCATATCGGCCTTTGTCTTTGTCCCTATAACCATAGTTTCGAACTCCGGGGACGGTGTTTTTACCGCCACAGGGTTCTCTAGGATTTGTGATTGGGTATTGTACTGATCCATCGCTTAGCCAACCTGCATTACACCAGTCCAGCCCAGACCTCCATGCATCATACAACTGATCAAAGGAGGCAATTATTGAATCCTGATCTTGACAGGCTTGTTGGGCCTCGTGAAAGTTCAGATTATACCGGCCAAGCCGGGGGTAGAATGGAAACATAATACCTGAAAATTAAATATATAAAGAAGTGGATTAGAAAGCTGAAAAAGTAAAAATGGAGCAAGTTAGACACAATTGACTACAGTATGAAAATAAGGGGGAAGAGAATACAAATATAATAACCCTGATTTTACTGTGCAGGAGAATGCTAATTGTTATTTTCTTTTAGCCTTTTACGCTTCTGTTTTTTTGTTTTTTTTTACTAAAGATCATTCTTGCAATGTTACTTTAACTGGTATTATGGAATCTTAACCAAGATTTATAAAGCAACTTATAAAATATCTCAGACAGTAGTTGCCACAAAGGTATTACATTTTATAAAAGGTAATGTGTTCAACCTCTATTACAGCGTTTTTCAACCACTGTGTGATTGAACAGAAATATGAATAATTATAAAATAATTTCTTTGTGTTTATTTGATTCCTATTCAAGAGAATTACTTTATATATAGTCAATATAGGCACAGAGGTAAATTTTTTAAACATTTTCTAATGGTGGTGTGCCTCGTGATTTTTTTCATGAAAAAAGTGTGCCTTTGCACAAAAAAGGTTGAAAAACACTGCTCTATTATATCTGTGACCTATCTGTTATATTAAAATTGAGATGATTTAAATAATCATTACAATATACACATTTACTATTATGGCAACATTATGCAAAGTCATATCTTTTATAACTTCTGTAAGAAAAACACACAAAAAAACGTATTGCAGGTCTTAGTTACAACCCAATGTATACAGTGCACTCCCTTTGTCACTCTAATGTTGTCTAGAAAGGTGTTATACATGGAGGCGGGGTGAGGGTCGTGACTAATCTACAACCATGTTAATTGTTAATCTATGAATCCCGACATTGAATACACTAATGGAAATGTGGTAGAGCAAGAATGTAAAAATATGAAAGTCAAATATTGTATTTTAGGTGTAAACACTGGCACAATAAATCAACATGTGTTCCCACTAAGAATATACATTCATTTCATTTTATTATGCCTTAGAGGAAAGCAAGACATTTGCATGTGTTATTCAATTTATTTAAAAGCTTACTCATTTCACAGTAATCTGAATGTTTTGGGTTTATAACTGTAAACTAACTGACAGTGGCTGGATAGACAATAAAGGGAGTTTATCAAAACTGGAGCAGACAAAATCTGGAGCAGCTGTGCATGGCAACCAATCAGCTTCTCTGTTCCATTTTCAAATATTAACGGAACAAACTAAAAAGAGAAGCTGATTGGTTGCTGTTGGCAACTGCTCCAGATTTTGTCTGCTCCAGTTTTGATAAATTCCCCCCAATGAGTTTGTTTAGAAAGGTAAAGGCAATATTCCAACAGTAGTCCCATAAAAGATGAAGATGGGCTAGTAAATGAGGGTATTAGGCTTAAAAACATTGCCAAGTTTCTACTGTTGTGTCACCATTAGGGGAATTTCCTCTAATTTCTTGCCACTGGCAGAGTAGAGTCACAGATAGCAATAAAAGTGAAACAAAGTGCTGGGGGTGCAGCGGCAGCATTTGCCATAATATGCATATAGACCTAGTTTACTTGTATATTATATAAAGGTACCTCTGCATTTGCAGTGTTCAAGTGATGACAGTTTAGCTCACTGCCTCATTGCTCCACAGCCATGTTCTCTAAAGATTATTTTATTTTTGTGTTGTCCTTTTTTTAGCCATAGGGTGACTAGAGATGATGCAACTCCGCAGCATGCACAAAGAAGTTTCCCCATCCTGGTGTTTGGCTCCACTGTCTGGCAACTTACAAATGCTAAGAGTGTACACTGCATTTAAAGGATGGGCACAGTACAGGTTCACTTTAAGGCAGGACTGTATGACATTTCTTGACTCATAAGCTCACGAGTCTGGCTACTTGGAAAGTTCTAGATATTTGTGAATATGTGTGGGCCATCCCTATAATGAGGCATCCGGAGGCTGGTCACGGTTATGTGGGTGGGGGCAGGGCCACAGGTACACCGGCTACAGCGTCTCAGGTTGCGAAGAGCTCTCAGCAACCTGTGACACTCTATCAGGTGTGCCACCCAGTTCACTGATATCACTGATTGCCAAGAGCTGCGCGGGACCATCTGGCTGGTGTCTGCCCCAACCAGCTCCTGGCAACTAGTGACGTCAGGGAGCCAGGCGGCAGCCACACAGCGCCGGAGCCAGAGGTACTGTGCACCACCAGCACCCTCCCTCCCGGTAATGTGGACCACCAGTGATCCCCTTCAACACTCCCCCCCCCCCGGACCATGCACCAACAGCACCTCCACTGACTCAGGCTATTATTGTTTAGCTCATTTGGTAGTCTAAAAAACACACCTTCAAAAATAGACTAAGCAAGTGTTACAACAAGAAACAAGAAATCTGAATATGTGCCTCCTAGTCCCAGTAGTGAATGAGGTGAAGCTCTGCTGACTTCCATCACCCAATCATATGTATTATCCTTGCACATGATTGGGTATTCTTTGCAAAGTGAATTTTTACCACATTAACTGAGCTAAGAGAAGATCCCCTTGCAAAATCAAAACTCCCTTGCAACGTTAACAGCCTATTTGCATTTTGTAAATCAACCCCATTGAGTCTGCTTTTTCACCTACATGTGTTAGATTTGACATCATCAGGCTTATCAAATATGTGAGCGTAAATATAAACCATATTAATGGGGTATGGTGCATCTTAAAGTATATTTAGTGGCCAGACTTTTGTTTTAGTTTTGTATAGAGCATGTCATGTTTAAAAACTCTTCTTTTTGCTGTCTGTGACCCGTGGGGGAAATTTCCATTCAGTTCCTGTTATGTCTCAGGGAAATTCCTCTACAGTGAGGGAAAAACTACTCTGAGACAATTGTTACCAAAACAGGTTACCAAAATGGGCATTTCCCCTCACTTCCTGTTCTGGTGTCACTTAAAAACATCGGCATTTTCCATCACTTCTTTGTACTGGAGACAGTGGTCACCAAGACAAATAGAGAGGGTCAATCTCCCCAGGAAAGACAAAGACAGCAATAGAAACCTAACCCAGTTGCTACCCAGGGCCGAATTCCCCACAAGGCCACCAAGGCCTAGCCTGGGGGCATCAAGGAGTAGAGGGGCATGCCTGATGAAGGGACCCTGAGTGGCCCCGAAACGTTGCTTGATGACAAGATGTGTGCACATCAATAAAATGACCACTCGTTGAAGATTTTACTTTGGTGTGCTGGTGATATACTTTACCATTTGGATTTGAAGTGGCGCCATCCACTATCACTGCAGCACCCACTTTGAAAAAGGGGCATACCAGTAAGGAGTGCGGTGGATACCTCTTTTGGAAGGAGTAGAGGGGCGGCACAGCCGATACTGACCCGTGGGGTGTGGAATTCCAATCGCCCGACTCCCAGGACATGCTTCGGGCAGGCAGGACTAAATGTACAGCGGGGAAGCCGCCACTCGTTTTGGACCTCGGCGATCCCCTTCTACCCTAACTTTTTGTACTCTCCCTAACTTTTTGTACTCTACGCAACATTTAAAAAACTAATTTTGGCTAGAGACACAGTTTATATAAATGACAAAAGCAAAGAAATAATGTTTTATAAAAAGATAGGCCTATAATTGACATTACCTTGTAAATCCAATGACACAACAGCGGTATCATCCTCCAGTCCTTCAATGACTTCACATTTGTATCTACCATAGTCTTCCAGTGTAATGTCAGTGATAACTAGTGAAGCATCATTTGCACTTGATCCTTGTAGGTAAACCCTGCCCTGGTAGCTGCCATAGGTCTTCTTGTGGTGCCCCATTGAAACAAAGACATCCACTTCCTTGAGGTAATCTGAAGTCAGTTTGGTCCACTTGATTCGAATTTTGTGTGAAAGTGATCCTGCTGACACTGATTCATGATGAAATTTGCATGGCAGTGTGGCATTACCGCCTCGATGAGAGATGACTTTAGTTTGATCTACCTCCACCACAAGACGAGGCCCATTCTCTGCAAAGAACACAAAAACAATCAAAAATGAGTCTCAAACAACAACAGTATGTGCTGTTCATAATTCAGCATATGTAGTAGCATACAGAGCAGAACAAACTGATGATCGAGAACAATAGTTGCATTTTTACCAGTCTGTATACTGATCCTTGTTTGTCAGATATGCAAGGGCTTTTAATAGTTGTAACTTTACATTCTGTATGCATTTTTTAAGAACAAGGGTACGTAGACTCATACATTTGAAGCAGTTTGTATTTTCCTGTATCCTTTCCTTCTGGAGTCTTTTATACTACTGCTGCTGCCAGCCTCTGCTATGATTATCTACACAACACAGCTCTTAATTCTATTTAGGGTCCATTTTACCACATTTAACTACTATTATTGTTTATTATCCTTGTTTTTTTTAAATATATTATAAAGTAAATTGTTTTGTTTCTTCTATTGTGTTTACCCTTTTTGTTTTCAAGGTACAAGGTCATTTTCACTTTGCAAGGCAATTTTCCCTTAGCTTAGTGAATGAGGTGAAGCTCTGCTGACTTCCATCTTCTAATCATGTACATGCAATAATACTGTTTTTTTCTTCCTTGCACATAATTGGGTATTTTTTGCAAAGTGAATCTTAACTTAACTAAAAGTGAAAAATACTTAAGTGGAAATCCGCCTGGCCTTTGGTTCCATGATAATTTGCAGAGCAGGTCAAATCTGATATGGTTATTCACAAAGCTGCCGAAGGCAGCTGAGTGAATAACCGAGCCTTAGTGAAGTGTGCCAAACAACGGTCGGCTATTCACTACGGCTCATTTCAGCCCTAAACCGGCTGCCTTTGGTTGCACTTCAGTCAGCCAAACATGCTCTGCATGTTTGGCTGAGCCGAAGTGCAGAAGGACTTCGACTCAGCTGATCCAACATCTGGATCGATTGAGCCGAAGCTCCGGCAGCTCACTTGCTGCTGTTCACCCCTATTCACATAGGGGCCGAACGACAGTGAGTGGATAGACGAATGCCACCGAGCGGCATTCGGCATGGCTATTCTGCTCGGTCTCTCCATGGCACCGAGCTGAATACAAAACAGTGACAAAAATAGAAAAAAAAAAAGGTTGCAAACATATTTAAAAAAATTTAAATAACGATTACATTAAAAAAAAATAAAGGTTTTTTAAAAAGTAAAAAAACAATAAAACCCACCCCAAAAACAATTGTGCGAAGCTAGCAGTGACAGCTAGCTCCGCCCAACTGTTTCCTATTGGCCAGCAACTGCTAGAGTCCCGGCCAATGAATAACAACTGGGCAGAACCAGACGTGATGTCAAGGCCGGCTCCGCCCAGTTGTTATTGTTTAAAATCAGATCAGCGTCCCAGGTCATTTGGGCATGCTGATCTGTCATTACAACTGGGCAGAGCCAGTTGTGAGATCACGGCTGGCTTCGCCCAGCTGTCATTTGCGGGGCTTACGACTGGCTTACATATACCTTCGGCTTAGCTGAGCCTCTCCGCCGCCTTTGGCAGCTGTACAGGCTATAGTGAATAGCCCGTACAGCAACCCTTTGGTTCGACTGAACCAAAGGGCTCTGGTGGCCGAAGGATCAGTCAAAGCTACGGCTGGATCCTTCGGCTCCTTTGTGAATAGCCCCCATACTATTCTTAGTAGTAGTAAAATTAGAACTCTAGATGACAATTGCAGCAGTATTTTGTTATCCCTGGAGAGGATGTCATAGATCCAATACCAAAGGGTCCAAAGGTTGTATAAAAACGTGTTTTATTATGCTAACTATCCTGAGAACATCAATATTTCCATCTGACAAGTTTTCACAATCTGACAAATAGCATATTATTTAGCAGAATGAAATTATGTTTTGTTAGGCACCAAATATGATATAGGTCTTATGTATATTTCTCTTGGTCTAATGTGTCTATTTAGCTTTTTAGACCTTGTAATTAAGGTATGTTCAGTGTCTAACTGGTATCTTCCTATACATTGATATAAACACTCCTCATAAAATGAACTCCATTAAAGTAATTGTGGAGATTTTGTGAAGCCTAACTCTGTGCAGTTCAGCTTTAGTTCAGTGTAGGTCATCATCTACTGTCTGGTAGATGCGTATTCTGTGACATATATGACTAAGCTGTTTACTACATGGCCCCATTATAAGTCTTTTGAAGACCCTGCTAGGGGAGGTTTATGACATATCTACACTCTTTCTTAGCTGGCCTCTGTGATGTAAAACTTCACTTGTCAAGTGTCATAATTACCATAAACACAAAACCAAATTAATATAGCAACATTAAACTGTCAGTGATTTGTAAGAAAAGAAAAAAAACTCTTTGGTAGTTTTGGATAGAAAATATAGTTGTAGATAGATAGATAGATAGATAGATAGATAGATAGATAGATAAAATTAGCCTTTGCAATACCATAAAATCTATCATGCTTCATAATGCGCAACTTAAGCACTCGAAGACCGCGGCGTTTCAGCCCCTTCCTGGCCAGGCCATTTTTCAGTGTTCAGCGCTGCGGTACTTTGGCTGACGTTTATTCCGTCATGCAACGCTGTACTGAAATGAATTTTATACCATTTTTGGGGACAGATAGAGCTTTTTTTTGGTGGTATTTAATCACCGCAGGGGTTTTTATTTTTTACTATATAACAAAAAAAGTACCCTAAATTTTTTTTTAAAAACATGTTTCCCTATAAAATGTTATGAAACATTTATTTTCACCCCAATTTTTTGGTATACTATAAAAGACGGGGTCATGTCGGGTAAATAGACACTAAATATGTCAACCTTTAAAATTGCGCGCGCCCGCGAAATCGCAGAAAACGACCGCAACCAAAATTGGCCATAGGCGACACTTTAAACATTTTTACAGCTCATCAGTTTAGTGTTATCAGTGATTGATGGCCCTAAAATTATTGCTCTCACTCCGACGTTTGCGGCGATATGTAACATGTGCTGCATAATAGGTGCAATCGTCGTTTTTGTACATAGGCGCACCCGACGCATGTTTGCATGTGTATGTGGGGGGGCGGGGGACTTTAAAACATTTTATATGTAATTTTTTATTATTATTATTTGTGGATATTTCTTTTAGCTTCTTTATTTTTTTTTAATGCTGTCATTTTTTTTATTTTTTTACTTTTTTTAGACAACTTTATTGCTATAACATAGGGGATTAAGAAATCCCCTACGTAATAGCCAGTTCACCAAACAGGTCCTCTTTATGGAGATCTCCAAGACCTCTGATGTCACCTAGGGACCCCCACAGAAGCTGATGAAGCAGAGATCTGCTTCATCAGCTTCTCTCCGGTGTTCTGCACCAGAGAGTGACACTGAATGCAGGAAGTGATGTAATATACATCACTTCCTGCATTCGGGGACAGGAAGAGAGATCAAAGGGAAATCGAGTAATGAGTGCTGAGTGCCGCACACGAGAGGGGGGAGGGGCAGGACATCTTAAGACGCCCTCCCGCTCCTAGCAGACGTCCGTCCGGCCGTTCACAAACGGCCATGGACGGAAGGTGGTTAAGTGAGACAGCCACTTCACTTTCAGTCCAAATGATCCTTAGGTAATATGGGCATTCTGTATACCTATGTAATGGATGTATTTGCTGCAACCTGGATATTACAAACCAGGAGCATGTTTAGAGCATCATGGATAATGTATCCCCCTTCAATCACCTGCCTTTGAAATAAACAGTGTCCAGGTCTATGTGACAACAAAAGGGGTCTCCAGCACTCGCCTGACCCACATTTCTATTAATGGGCCCCTAAGTATAAGAGGGCCCATGTGTAGCTGCACAGTCCTTACAAATCTGCCTACTCCTGCTATCAGGTACTTATATACTGTACATGAGGTCAAAATCTGTTTAAATATACTTGACACATAATATGTTTTAACTCACGGATCGGAACTAATAAGCATCAATGTGAAAGGGGCATAAAAACGCTGCCTGACTGATTACAAGATTGAAGACATGTGTGATAGTAATTCCAGAAAATAGTTTGAAGTATCACTGATCACATGATCCCATTATTTATAATCTGTTCCAGGGGTACCAACAATCTATCCAGACCATTTTAGAATTTATTTTTTTTAACAATAAGCAATACTTTGTAACAGTAAGCAATAATGTATCTCTTTTCACACTTTCCTTGCTTTAGGATCACACTTGCCGCGCACTTGAATGTGTGATGCATTTAGGTGCATTTTGCCACATTTGCGACATGCCACCATAGGGCAGCCTATTAATTTCAATGGGCTGCCTTATGCACAAAAAACACATTTACGCATGTTTGTTGTCTGTTAACACACATGCCAAGATGCACATTTTTGCTTGCCGCATTATTAACAAATAATGGGACTGCTATTGTGACATGCACTTCTTGCATGTTGCATAAACACATGCAATTCATGCATGTGGCAAGTGCAAATGGAGTCTTACTCTATGATATACAAGGCATGCGCGGCCATCTGATTCACACTTGCCGGCGGTCATCTTGGTGATGGACGCTGACAGAGAGAGGAGGGGACATTCATCCGGGCGAGGTATGCCGCGGGGTCCCCTCCTCTCTCTTGACACTGTCGGGCTCTCGGTCCACGACCGAGTGCCTGACTTTTTAGAGGGGGTGACACCAAAATGACTGTCAGTCATTTTGGTGTCACCCCTGCAATGGTGTCACCTGGGTGTTGGCCGCACCCCCCTTGTGACGCCACTGCATGCAGGTATATATGAGATAATTGCTTTTAATTGCATCACTTTTCAGAAGGAATGAAGCATTGTTTTTGTAAGACTTCCTATATAGTGATTTCCTTCAACATCCAGTATGAATGTTTTTCTTTGTATAGCTACAATGTTGTTTATGTGTAACATGATGACTGAAAGAACCAAAGCAGTGACTGCAATCATGAATGAACATCCACAGGAAACATACAACTCATTTTAAACGTTGGTGGCAATGATTAATGCCTTATGTGCCTCCCTGAGTTTCTCTGATTCTGGC